ACTGGAACAAGTGTCTGAAAGCATCTCTCTTGGACAAGCTGAGCTTAGAACTCACTGTCGTTGCCTACAATAGCTCTCAAAGGATCACTTTATTCTAGAAGCACCAGGGATTTCTCCAGCTTTCATTTACCAAATAGTCAGTGGTCACTTCTCTTATTATCCCTTGTTTCTTTTCACCACTGCTCACTACTGGCCAGAATTAAAACACTGGTGAGAAAATTATTTAAAATCTGCTTCTCTCTTATACTTACTGTTAAGTATCTGATAAATAAACCCTGTAGTCTTTTTTGTAAAGTAGGGATACACAAATATCTCAAATAGCTAATGTGAAGATTTAAGGAAATAATGTTCATAAATGCCAAAGCTCAGTGCACAGTGCTTGGGTCATAATATGCCAAAAGTTTTATATTTATTTTCTCATGGAAACACTTTCCCTGGGGGGTAGATAAGAGTTAATGAGTAACAAACACATGGGTAATTTAAAGTCCCAGGAGCTCATCATAGTGTCTGTGAAGTGATCTTTTAAGCAGTGTCTGCTGTTCCTGTTCAGTACATTGAGTTCTTCCTGGGTTGATGCTAAGGGCCCCCTGTCCCATTACCATAGTCACCCCACATAAGGTACCACATGACTTAGGAAAGCCTTTATGCTGAGAGCCTGAGGAAGCTATTCACAGGGTCTGCCCAAGGCTTGCTTATTTTGCCTTGCCTATCTTTGCAGAAGTCGTGGTGGGTTTTCCCCTTGTTCTCTGTCTCCTGACTGACCTGGTGCTTCCCTGTGTGGTCCTTCTGGCCTGTTCTCCCCTGTTCGCAGGATCTGTGATAGCAATGCTCTCTCTTCAAGGGCAGTTGTGTCCTGACCTGTTGGTCTCACTATACCTGAAGAATAATGACATTTATATTTTAAAACACTTCTCCCAGTAGTGATGGTTAAGCATGTCAACTTCCCTGGGCTAAGGGATGTCTAAATAGCTAAAAACATTTCTTTTGGGTAGTAATATCTAGGAAGATGTTAATGGACACGATTAGCATTCATGTCAGTAAACAGAGTAAACATGAAGCACCATCACCAAATGTGTAGACATCATCTCATCTGTTGAGGAGCCAGATGGAACAACAAGATGGCGGAAGGGTGAATTTGGGAACTTTCTCTTTGGGCATTCTTCTTCTGTCACTGATGAGCAATTTTCAAGCCTTTGGACTCTGGAATCGAACTTCAGCGAGTTAGGTAGCAATGAAGCTGGAGGGGGCAGCTAGAGAGCTTTAAAGTGCAAGACCTAGTCCTCCCTCCAGTGGAGCACACAATCCAACAGGAAAGATATTAAACCGAGGTTGGGAAGTAAAATTCATTGTATGGAAGAGGAAATGACAAAGCCAATATGAATATCTCTGTTATTTTCAGAGCCTGGATCTTTTGTAGCTCGCTTGCTCTCTCTCCCTCTCTCTCTCTCTCTTTAAAGCCAACACTGTAGAGAAGGGATACAGTGTTCTGCAGCATATTAGATAATGTAACTAAGTCAGAGTATTACGGACAGGGTCATAAACACAACTTTCTTGAAGGCATCTGTCCAGGTGAAGCAAGTACTTACTGCTTTGTGCTGATGCTTTAAAGAGAAGTCAGAAATGTTCTCTATCCTGCAACTCATTTATGAGAATTTAAATATCAGAAAAACCAGAAGAGCTATGTCCAGCATAGCATAGCCACAGATTGAATTTTAGCTCTTAGGATATCATGGCTATTGTAATTAAAAACAGCCAAATGGGAAGCCAAATTTTATAGGAAACTGTCAGTTATCAAAATGACCAATTATGTACTCTAGTATACCCACTAGTGCAACATCATAGCTGGAAACCCAGCAATTGTGGAGTTAGAGGCTGGAATACAAGGACATCAATATATGGGAATTGATCACAGAATCCAAACTCAAATCCTAGAGTCAGCTTTTTCTCCAGTAGACTTTTTGAACCCTAAAAGTTTTTAAATGATTTCAAAAAAAATTTAAAGAACCCCAAATTTAGACTTTTTTTTTAGCACTTTGCTAGAAAAGTTGTGATTTGTAATGGCTTTTGCTTTTCATAAAATTTAAAAATATGAACTTTGCCTCACAATTTATTTAGATCCAGTTCATTGAACTTGAGTAAATTTTTAACCACCTCATTAAAATTCAGTAGGACGAGAAGTTTCCATCTGGTGCCTGAAGTTGTCTGCTGAGAAAGAATTGCTGTGTGGTCAGTACTAAGAGTGTTTTCCTAAGATGCCTGCACTAAGAGTGTGGAGAATACAAATGAGACATGAATCTTACATTTTACTTTCTATTAACAAAAATTATGCAAACATCAAGGGAAGAAAAATGGCTTTCGGGGGGCATTTGTGTGTGGGTAAATTTTAATCTCTCAGTGAGGATACACTACTGAAATAAAAATGCCATTACTGCAGAGGGAAATTCCAGGATCCTGTTATGATTATTTTTATTGCTTGGAGATGGAATTCTAGTAAATAAGATTCACTTACCATTCAAATAAAAAGAGCTATCAAAACCTGGGTGTAAAAATGGCATCCTATAATATTTGAACTCCAGAAGTTTGTTTACTTTTTTCTCCTACTAGAACCTACATCATGAAGGTTCAAAACCTTAGGCTGTGCAAAATTGGTATGCCACATTTTTAGTAACGCTAGTGTGTGAAAACACTGCCAAAAAAAAAAAAAGCATGGACTTGAAGGTCTCTGTGTAGCCTGAGTCCCACTGACTCAGCTAATCCTGCGTTAACTTTACAAAATCCTCACCAAATGTAAATCCATCCTCTGTGGTCCCTACTAGACTTTCTGTCTGTATTAAACATTATTGTCTCCTGCTGCTTCAGTCATGGACTTGTAACTAAATTTGTAATAATCATTCCATTTGTCTTTGGCTAAATAAAATTCCATTTTCAGATTTTACTTTTCGATATCAGAACATCTTTTCTTAGTAGGTGGCTGAAATCAGAGTTTCCATTAGCGCTGGTGTTTCTGTGGTGTGGGCTGCCTTATTCACACATCTCATCCTTTCACCTTTTTCCCTTAAGACAAAATGCTCAGATTTTTTTGCTCCCATATGTTGTGTCCTTCATGTTATCACTAGATACTCCAACTGGCCCATTTCTCTCTTTAAATTAGCCATGACATTGCTGGAGCTGTTGGGTGCGCAGAGACCAGATGGGTTCAGGATCTGATGGTTGAACAGCAATTCTTAACCATTTAGGGACATGTACACCATATGAGAATGAAAACATATATATATATATGTATACACATATACACATATATACATGTATATGTATATACATATATATATATATTTTTTTTTACAGAGTAGATTTTGAAAGCACTTTTCAATGCTTGCATATGTGAGAGTTTTTGGAATCCAATTTCATAAAAAATGCTGTTAGTTAGCTTTTCCTTGAATTGTCTTGTTCAGACATGTTAGTCCTTTCAGATAAAATGCTCAGGAGATTTTTAAGATTGCCTACCATGCTTTCTGCCTGGCAGGGTTCTCTCTTGCTCTCATTTTCTGTTGTTGCATGAGGAATCTCTTGATTGGCTTGATTTGGGAGTGATACAAAGCTAGGAGACAGTAAAGTAGACATGTGCTCTGATTATTCTAATGTAATTTATAAAATATTTGGGACAATTTGTAGTATCTTTCAATATGTAGAAATGACAGGAGGGAAATATGTAGTTTTCTAAATGTGCCATTTAACCAGATGGTTGGGCAAAATATATTTTTTTTAAGTGTTGCTTTACCTTGTGGCCTGGTATAACTTAATCTTTCTTTTCTTTCCTCTTATGGGTATTTCTTAATTGAGGCTTCCCTACACTTCTGTACTCTTATTGTCTTATTTCCATGCATATGCTTTTACATATTAGCCATTCCTATTAGAACATTCCAGGAGTGATTTTTTTCTGGGCATGAACGCAGATTGGTATTTAAATAGTAGTGAGGATCCCAAGCCAGTGAGAAGTGGCTACATCAACTCTGGGAAAGGAGGCATCCATGATGAGTTTTTCCCAGTGGTGGGAGATGGTGTGAACCTTCACTCTGAAACAGACAGAACCAGCCTGATAGTGACTTCAAACTCAGAAGCTTTTTCAGCTGCTGGTGAAGAGGCCTGTGCCCTCTCTGAGAGGGCCTGGGTTTGGTTCCCTCCTGTGACTCCTGACTCTGAGCACAGTGTCTGGGAGGCAGTGGTGATCCAGGAACAGGATTCCTCTCCCCTATGCAGGAGTCCTGATGTGAGTTCCCAGCTCCTGGTTTCAGATTACGCCCAGCTTCTGCCACTGTCGGCATTTGCAGAGCCAACTTACCAATGGGAATGCCGTCTCCTTTCTCTGTTATTTTGTTTCATTTATTTTTTTTTTAAAATTTGTGTTTTTTTTTTTTTAATTGGAAAGTCAGATATACAGAGAGGAGGAGAGACAAAAAGGAAGATCTTCTGTCCGCTGATTCACTACCCACGCAGCTGCAACAGCCAGAGCTGAGCCGATCTGAAGCCAGGAGTCGGGAGCCTCTTCTGGGTCTCCCACATGGGTGCAGGGTTCCAAGGCTTTGGGATGTCCTTGACTGCTTTCTTAGGCCACAAGCAGGGAGCTGGATGGGAAGTGGGGCGTCTGGGACACAAAGTGGCACCCATATGGGATCCTGGTGCATTCAAGATAAGGACTTTAGCTGCTAGGCTATTGCACTAAGCCTGTCACCTTTCCCTTTTTCTCAGTGTGTGTCTCTGATTCTCAAAACAAACCAACAAATAATACATTCTAAAACAGAGTCGGTATGTTGGAAGAGCTGAACTGAGTTTGCAAAGGATGTTGGACTCCCAAATTTATGACATTTGTTTTTGAACGTCACTGGCCTAACAGTTATGCTTGATCTTTTAGAGCCTCGCGTTCCCCTTCTCCTTGGTCTGAAGGAAGATGGGCAGACCTGTGTTGTTCTCTACTCACCTGCACTGCCTTTCTGTCATTGCAGGTTACGGTCACACTGTGCCCTTGTCAGACGGGGGAAAGGCCTTCTGCATCATCTACTCGGTCATTGGCATTCCCTTCACGCTCCTGTTCCTGACAGCTGTGGTCCAGCGTGTCACCGTGTACGTCACTCGCAGACCTGTCCTCTACTTCCACGTCCGCTGGGGCTTCTCCAAGCAGGTGGTGGCCATCGTCCATGCTGTCCTGCTGGGGCTGATCACCGTGTCCTGTTTCTTCTTCATCCCAGCCGCTGTATTCTCTGTCCTGGAGGATGACTGGAACTTCCTTGAATCCTTTTACTTTTGCTTTATTTCCCTGAGCACTATTGGCTTAGGGGATTACGTTCCTGGAGAAGGCTACAATCAGAAATTCAGAGAGCTTTACAAGATTGGCATCACGTGTGAGTATCCAGGGGCAAAGACTGCACCTTTTGTCTCTGTTTCGTCATTCTAAGCTCCCGTTGCCTACCCGTGAATACTCATTCATAAAAGCCCTGTTTCTCACTCATACATTTTCCATTTTTCTCATCTTATTCCATTTCATGATTCTCTTATGTAAAAATGTTATGACTGACTTGTTTTCCCAGACCTCTTAAAATGACTTACTGATTTCTTACTAATAATGTAAGATCTATGTGGCATCAAAAATACATCAAAAATTCCATATTGCCTAAAAATGCCCCAAACAAAATGTATTTGGTGATTAACTCTTAATAAAAATAAAACATTGCTCTACTATTTTAAATATTTTAATGTCTGCAAAGCTAGATCTCAGAGTTTGTTACCATCAATCATGTTCTTTAATTTACCAGAAAAATCTGAGAACAATTGCTAAGCTCATTTATCCGTCTGATTCAGATATTAGCCTATGTTAACTGTTTTCAGAATGTTGCATGCAGGAAATAAAACAGGCATTAAAATTTAGATGGCCAGTGGCTTATAATAGTTAAGCATATTTTTAATTCAATATAATGTGGAAAAATGTGTTACCCATTTTTGAGACACCATTCATTTTTAAATGAGACTTTCTCAAGTTTTTCAAGATGTATAAAATGGCAGTCATGGTGTATCTACAGTTTTCATTTCTGCTTTCTCATGATATTTTTAGTTTGTGATATGGTTCAGACCAAGTCTTCTAGGAAATCAAAGCAGGTTCACAGGCAGTCACATGCTCTGTCCTGGCCCTGTCTCATAGTTGCAGCCTCACAAATGCTTGAATTGTGTGTATCTCAACATTTCCATGAAACCGCAGGCTCGCTCAGAACAAAGACTTCACTCAGAAATCTTAAACGGTGTGAATAGTGCCTGGCAAGTCCAACAGAAGTTTGCCAAATGATTACAAAGATAGCTTCTTACTTCCTTCAGTTACCCTAAGTATTATTTTTTCAGTCATTATGATATTTCACAAAGTATCTGTATCATCCACCCATGCCTCAGTTGTCAACTTATTGGAGTTGCTTCTAATTTGGAATATTACAAATAATACTACAATAAACATTTTAGTATATTTATACTTTCCCCTACTTTGATATCCTTCTAGGAAGTGGAATTGGTGGCCCAAAATGAATAATTTTTTTGTCAAAAACATATGAGCTTGTGCTTTCCAAATGGCATTGCTAGTTTATAATGCTCTGGTAGAGCAATTTCAGTGCTTGAGGAGTGGTATCAGCCAGGGGTATTATAGAGCTGCTTCTGTAAAGTTGATAGCACAATAAAGGCAACTTTAACTTTCTTTTCATTTAATAGTAAGTATTTTTTTTTAACAATTTTCATGATAGAGAAGTAGAATGTTTTTGTGATTATATTTATTAGCTATGCTTTTTATTAGCTATCTTCTCATAAGTTTTATTTAGTGATTTAATTTCCTTTTTTAGTACTAAAGTGTTGTATTTAGCAGTTGCTACAACGTAGCCCATATTTTTTTGCAGTTTATTCTTTGAGTGTTAAAAACTTGAATATTTAGCAAATGAATGTTCTAAAAGTATATTAGTTTGGATAGGATAAAAAGATACTTCAGCTTTTTCTTAAAACCCTATGGATGCTTCTGTCAGCTCTCAAAAGTTTGATTATTGATTAAATAACGATAAAGGAAATTTAACAAATTCAATCAGTCTAAAATATATTCTTTGTACCATATTATTATAAAATTCTAGAGTCAAGCTCTGAAGACACCAGAACTTTGCATTCTTAAGCTAATCAGCTTTTCTGCCTCATGTATTCCAGCTTTCCTGGCTCATGTATTTCATAAAAAATCTTCCTCAAATGTTTTTCTGCTGTGATCTGAAGTAGGAGTTTTAGTTATGCTTAAACTTTTCTTTTTTTTTTTTGTTTCTTTACATGGAAAACATTCTTTTTTCTGGAAAATGATTTTTAAAATAATTGATTGTTGAAATTATGAGATAGTTATTTAATATTCAGATGCTGGGAGTGTTGACCAAGAAATGAACATATTCCCAAAAAATGACAGTCGTTTAACAGACAGCTTCAGTTCACAATGAGTTTAAGTTCCATGTGCAGGTAGTTTTGTAGGTTAATTGCAAATGTAAGCTTCCACACACAAGGATCTATTTAATATTGTTACCAATTATTTTTTAAAGTTCCCCAATTTATTTACTTGAATGGCAGAATGAAAGAAAGAGGGAAAGACACTAGAGAAATCCTCCATCTAATGATTTACTCTTCACATGTCCATAGCCAGGGTTAGACCAGGCGAAAGCTAGAAGCCAAGAATTCCATCTGGATGACAGAAACCCAAGTGACTTGAGCCCTGATCTCCTGCCTCCCAGAGTGTGCATTAGCAGGCAGCTGGAGTAGAAGCAGAGGTGGAACTGGATCCCAAGAACAAGAGCTGTGACTTTCCCGGTGCCATAACCCACTGTCAAGTCTTAAAGGGATTTAAATATAGCTTAAGTTATAAATTCTATTACTAAAGTTCTTACTATGCAGAAGAGATAACAATAAAAGTATTGAGGACTTAAATAGGTGCCAAGCTTTCTTCTGACTGTCCCATCGCAAATCAGATGTTTCTAAAATGTCACTGGCTTTTTGTGGCCACTAACAAGGCAGGTCTGGAAGCCCTCTTTGGATGAAGGTCACATTTTGGTGGGTGTAGTTTGTTGTCTGTCTTTGACAATGCTATGTGAGCCACAATTTTTGCTCTTCTCAAATATCGTTGCTTGAGATTCTAAATAATCCAAGGTCACAGGAGCCTAAATCAATCATTATTATCTTTTTCTGGATCATTCTAACTGAAGCCCATTATGTCAAAATGTTCATAGAAATTAGAAAATCAGTGGTGGAGTTGTGTGTTGGCTTGTGCGGAACTGAGTTAAGTAAGCTATGTGAAACTGGAGTTGGCTCTGACTAGATTCCACTGACACTGTTTCTCTCATAGGTTACCTGCTACTTGGCCTGATTGCCATGTTGGTGGTTCTGGAAACTTTCTGTGAACTCCATGAGCTGAAAAAATTCAGGAAAATGTTCTATGTGAAGAAGGACAAGGATGAAGATCAAGTGCACATTATAGAACACGACCAGCTGTCCTTCTCCTCCATCACAGACCAAGTAGCAGGCATGAAAGAGGATCAGAAGCAAAATGAGCCTTTTGTGGCCACTCCATCATCTGCCTGTGCAGATGGCTCTGCCAACCACTGAACACAGGATCCGTTGCATCATACTGGGTACCCAGGGTCAGGGCCTGAGGAATAAGCTTAACTGTTCATTTTTATGAGACTGTAAATGCCAAGAGGATGTTATCTTGTTAGATATTTACTGTAAGCAATATTTTTGAAGGAAAAAGTAGAACAAAAGAAGCTTTGGGCCTAGAGGAATGTCTGCTCTCTGAAGAAATGGGCTGTGTGCCTTTAACTCACTTGTGGTAGAATTATCTAGACTTTACTGCTAGAAGAAAAAAGATTGAAACAGTGTGCAGCTGTGGATAGGAGCATATTTTATACTTTTAAAACTGGGCACTTTGTAGTTTGCATTTAAATGATTTAGCTGATGGCTAAATAGCAGCGACATTTATATTTAAAACTGAAAGGCACAGAGGTATGTCTTATAAATAGGTTTCTGTGTACTAGTTTGCATGTGCCGTGCTAAATGGTTATTTTTGTAGGTTAAGTCTACTATTTATAATGAGTAGGTAACCATTAACTGTGTACATATAAAATATAAATATGTTTATATCCTGTACATAGGGTTTAGGTTACCAGATATTACTTCTTAACCCAAGATTATAGATATTTCTTTTTCTTTTGATTTCTCTTTATACTGAACAATTGTAATTGCTGTAGAAGAGAAATAAGAAAATTAAGCAGGAATAATGCAGTGCTCTGTCACAATAAATGTTTCTATTTTCTTGCAATATTTTGATATCAGATGTGTAAATATGTTTGTCATTCCTTTTTTGGAAGTGAGCAGGCAATGAAGAATAGGACCTGTTAAAAGGTTAAGACATTTTGCTTTGAAAATACATTGTGATTTACAAGTAACCTAATACTAAAACCCAGAACTAGAACATAAAAGTTTCAAATAAACAGATTATGTTGCATTAATCTGACTATATAAGATGAAATAAATAAAAATCATAGCTGATAGAAATCCTCTGCTTTAATAGATTAAGTGTTTTCATCTGTGAAGGAGTATGCAATGTATGCACTCTGACAAGAACCCTAAAGGTAGCACATAATTGAGGTATACAGAACACTATTAATACTTTCTACTTGATTTTTTTTTAACTCGAGAGGCAGAGAAACAGAAAGAGCTCCCTTCAATGCTTTGCTTCTCAAATGCCTATAATGGTTGGATCTGGGCCAGGGCCAAAGTTGGGATGCAGGAATACAATCTAGGTTTCCCCCTGTGGGGTCCACATCACAAGCCCTCACTGCTGCCTCCCATGGTTTGCATTAGCATGAAGCGAGAGGGTCAGGAATAGAGCCAAATATCAATCTGAGTTACTACAATAATGGATATTGACATCTTAGCCTCTAGGATAAATGGCTACTCCACTATTAAGTGTTTTAGAAGGAAATATAAGAGAGATTCTGTGTGATAACAAATGCCTGTGGCACCTTATGCCAGTCTTAATCTCCCATGGGAAGCTTCTCAGGTGGTGGGTTTGATTGCTTAAAAGCTAATGAGACACAGTGGGCAGAGTCCGGGCAAGTCTGAGCAATGGCACGGGTGTCTGGATCCACCAGCCACAGAGATGTACTGAGCCAGGCTTCCTACTGGGGACCATAGCTCCCCACCCACTGGTGCTAGGTCGGGGGTAAGGTCCTGGGCTTAGGAGCAGCCAGAGTACAAACCAGCACCAGGTTTTGTCTGCCAACCATCTGGTGACGAGCTCTGGGATCTTGGGGGAATGGAATTACTGCCTGGGGACATCCATGAATAAGGTCACTGTACGTGTAGGTGAAGAATGTCTCCTGAGAGACACCCAACGACAAGGCCACTGCACTTGCAGGTAAACAAGGAGACTGAGACATAGTGGTTTGGAGGGGAAAGACCTAAAGATCTTTATTGGTCAGACTGATACACCAGTCTACATGGGATTCCTGGGTTGGGCTTGATAACATGGAAAATGACTGACCACTACACGCCAGTGAACACACAAGCTATGGCTATGGGCCTTTCTGGCAGGGCTAGATCCCAGTACCTGACCATGAGTGTCAGACCAGAGGATGGATCACATTGGACTTGGCCAGGACACCAACCTGCAAACAAGTGAACTAGGTCTGCGGGCAAATTCTGTGGGGGATATTTGGGCCCCAACCTGTAGAACTACAAGTCCCACTGGTTAGCTTGAGAGTTGGGATGGTGATGGGCTGAGCTAAGTGTAACCATGGAACTCACTGACACTCACGGGTACTGGGGCTGGGAACAAGTGGGGCAAGTCCAGGCTGCATCACCTGCACGAGCATCCTAAAACAAGGTGTGGGGCTGCACCAGCTCTTACAAACGCCAGGATAGGGCAGGCCATACCAGGTAAGGGCCAAGTATCCGCTGGCATGCATGAGATCTGGGTCTGGGAATTGTCCAAGTGGGGGAACCTGGGAAAACTTCCCTAATGGGTCATAGGTCCCACTGATGAGCACATGATTCAGACCTGGGAGTTGGCAGGCTGGGCTTGGTAGTTCCAACCATTGGCAAGTGTGTGAATTGATTTTGGAAGGGGATACACCAGGTGGGACCAAGCAAACTATAACCCACTGGCAAGTGCAGAAACAAGGCTGGAGTGCAGGTCATCCTGAGCTAGGCTGCCATACCTACTGGTTTGCATGAGCCAGGGATGAGAGCTAACTGAGCAGGACCAGGTTGCAGCACCTACCAGTCAGAGTTGTGAATGGGCCAGGCCAGGCTACAGCATCCAAAGGCAAAGGCCAGGACAGGGGAGGGGCTATGCCAAGCTAGCTCAGAGCAACCACTGGCATTCACATGATCTGAGGCTGGGATCAGGCATGGTTGGGGAGCTAAGGAAATTCCCTGGCTGGGTTGTGGGTCCCATTGGAGAGCGCCGGGATCGGAGTGGGGCCTGCTGTCTGGTCATGGCTTCAGTCTCTCTTGGCATGGGTGTGGACTGGGTCTGGGGTGTGCAAGACTGGGCTAGACTCCAGCACCCACTGGTGATCATGAGAGCCAGGATTGGTGTAGGATGGGCTGGGCTAAGTCTTTGTCCTGCTGAGACATGCGTGAGCTGTCTCTGGGTGTGGACTAGGCTTGGCTGGGCTGTAGCACCCAATAGTAAAAACCAGAATGGGTGAGGGCCAGTCAGGAAAAGCTACTTTTCCTGCTAGGACAGGAAGTGGACTAAGCAGGGCTGCCCCACGGACCTACCAGTATGTGCGAGATCTGGCATTGGGAGAGGTTCTGATGGAGAAGCTTGGAAAACTACTTTGTTGGGACACAGTCCCTGCAGGTGAGTGCAAGAACCAAGAAAGAGAGCAGCCCAGACCAGGCCAGGTTATGGTACCCACGGGCTTACTTTGGTTCAGGTTGAAGGTGAACCAGGCTGAGTCAGTTCATATCACCTGCTGACAAATCCAAGAGCCAGAATGGTGTGAGGTTCATGCGAGGGTGGGCTGCAATACCAGCCAATTCACATTAAGGCTGGGACGGAGGGCTGCCTGAGCTGGCTAGATTGTAGTCCTCACCAGCGTGAGCTGGCATTGGGGGCAGGCCAAGCCAGGCTGCAGCACCCACTGACAAATGCTGAGGTGAGGCGGACCATGCAACTGGGTTGCAATGCCCAACCAACACACGTGATATCCAGGGAAAGCAGGCAAGCCCAGTAGGAGGGCTGCAGGAGGCTTCCCTGCTGGGCCAATATTCCCACTGGAGAGCATGAGTTGGGATGGGGCCAGACAAGGCTGGGCAGGGCTACCACACCTGTTGGCCTGCATGTAAGCTGCATTGGGGGGAAGCCAGGCAGGATGGACTATACCTGCTGGTACATGCATAAGCCAGAGTGGGTGAGGGTTGGTTGGGCTTCCCCACAGCATCAGCTAGCAGATGCTAGCATGGAGGAAAAACTCTGTTGAGCTACACTGCAGTACTATCTGGAGAGTACAAGATGCAGGAGTGGGAGTGAACAGTGAGCACCTCCCTCTTGCGTTGCCACTCCCATTAGTGAGCATGAGAACCAGGACTGGGACAGGCATGGCTAGACAGAGAGTGGCATCTGACAGAACGTGTATGAGTGGATAGGGTGGCTGGTTAGATTGAATTAGGCTTCAATGCTCATTGACAAGTATGAGAGCTGAATGGGATGTGGGACAGAGAAGACCAGTTTACTGTACATACTAGCAAGCATAGGAACCAGGGCAAGTGGCAGGCCTGGTGGGAGTTATTGCCTGGTCACTCTGAATAGGGTACAACTTCCACTGGTTTGCATGGGGGCTGAGTGTGGTCGGAAGGACTGGGCTGAATTACAACACTTATTAATTTGTGTGGGAAACAGACCTGGAGAAAACCAACCCAGCGATTTCCAAGAATCAGGTCTGGGATCACCTCAGATGAAGTTTCTTTGAGAATCTCCCACAACTGAATCACTGGACTCAGAATTCCAACCATGGAGAAAATGGAAGATTCCATGGCCTGACTGTGGAATACTTGTGTCAGAGCTGGGCCTCCTCAGTGGCTTAGACAAAGCAATGGACAGCATATCCAGAATCCCAGTGCCTAAAAAACTGTGTCACATAATGCAATGTAATTAAAAAAAAAAGATGAGAAAGGGTTCGAAGTACAGAAAATGAGGAAGCACATAAGGGAAAATGTTTGAATCTGAGTGTCATTAATAAGTAATAGAGCATGGACTTCATTCAAGAATTATCTGTGAGTTAGAGGCAAAGAATACACTTAACCTCAAAGTCCTTCACATTGTTGCTATTGTTAGTACAAAAGGTGAGACACAAACACAGAAGTGGAGTTTGAGCTTTTTTCTGCCCTGACAGATAGGCAACAAAGCCAAGTGCCCTCTCCCAACTTTCTTTCTGTTCTCAGTCACTGACCAGATTCCATACTAAGGGACAAGTGAGCTGTGTCAACCCCGAGGAGCTCTGAGTCAACCTCCCAGATGGATCTGGGCTCCACTGGTGCAGGGCAGCAGCCAGAAGGACAGTGTGCTAGAACTGTGCTAGGACTGACACTGGGGACACTTGAGTGGGAGATGAGACTACATGGTGGGGAATGCGAACTGGGAGGGTTTTGAGTGATAAGTGTGAAATGAGTTCAAGATCTTCCTACTGGACTGAATTTCAGAACAAAACCAGAGATCACTGTCATTAAACAGAGTGCTATCCTGTGTATACTTGGAGGTGATCAATGCCTGATAGGGAATGTTGGTTCTGAGGAGAGAACTGAGTATTTCAGAGTGAAAATTCTCAACTTCTCTAAAGTCCCCTGGAACATGAACCAAGGCATGGAAGCAATCTCCAAAAGAATCTTGTAAAGATTTGGCCAGCTCATTCCACCTTCAAGACTGTGGTTTCTCTCTGCAGCAGTAACCCCTCAAGACACATAAAAAGAGACTTGTTCAAAGATTAAAGATGAAGACGGGTGGGAAGAACAGAGGGCAGCATTTCTAAACAGATTGACTTGGAGTGATATTAGATAAGAAATGTCTGGGAATGATTAGGTATAAACCCACTGCTTTTATTTTTATTCTTTCTCCTGAAACATGAGCATACTTATACTTTCTACAAACTGTGTGCTTCTGGACATATGCATTGATGTGACTAACTTTTTTTTCAAATTTTAATTTGAAGGGTAGAGAAACAGACAAAGCTTCCGTCTGCTGGTTTAGTCCTCAGATGACCATATAACAGGCTATGATCCAGAAACACATACAGGTCTCTGTTGTGAGTGGCAGGGACCCAATCACTTGAACCATCCCCTCTACCTTTCAGGGTGTGCGTAAGCATGAAGTTGGAACTGAAAACAGAGCTGGGATTTCAAGCTAGACACTCCAATAGAAGAAACAGTGTCTTAACCACTAAGCTAAATACCCACCTCACATTCTGTGCCTTTTAGATAATGAATGAGGGGATGCAAGTGTTTATGAATTGAGAGACCTCAAGAATACCGAAAAA